TTATAAAATCAACAGACAAAAGTCAGTAATCTTCCTGTACACAAACAACCAATCACAAGTAGTAGAAATCACAAAAATCATCCCCTTTACAATAAAATTTTTAAAAATCAAGTACTTAGGAATAAACTTAACAAAAGAAGTGAAGGGCCAATACAAAGAAAACTATAAAACCCTGATAAAAAAAGTAAATGGAAAGATATCCCCTGCTCTTGGATCAGAGAATTAACATCATTAAAATGTCCATCCTACCAAAAAGCAATGTACATATTTAACACTATCCAATAAAAATCTCAATGACATTCTTCAAAGAAATAGAACAAATATTGATGAGATTTATATGGAATCACAAAAACCTCAAATAGACAAAACACTCCTGACTAAAATGAAAGAGACCAGGAGACATCACAATTCCAGACTTCAAGCTATACTACAAAACCAAAATCATCAAAACGGTATGATACTAGAACAAGGATAGACATACAGACCAGTGGATTTGAACAGTAAACCCAGATAGAAACCATAGGTTTATGGACAGCTAATCTTTGACAAAGAAGCAAAGAATCTGCAAGGGAACAAAGAAAGTCTGTTTAGCAAATGGTGCTGGGAAAACTGGACTGCTATGTACAATGAAGTGAAACTAGACTATCTCGTACCATGCACAAAAACCAACTTGAAGTGGATTAAAGAACTAGACATAAAACTCAAAACCATAAAATATCTAGAAGAAACGGCAGGCGGAATTCTACATGACATACACCTCAATAATATCTTTAAAGATACATCACACAAAGCAACGACAGTGAAGGAAAGGATAAATAGCTGGGACTACATTAAGTTAAAGAACTTCTGTATAGAAAGAGACACTATAAAACAAATAGACATCCCACTGATTGGGAGAAAATATTTGCACACAATGACAAAGGACTGATTACAAAGGTACACAGAGAGCTAATTAAACTCAACAAAAATAAAGTGAACAACACAATTTTAAAAAGGGCAGAAGAGCTAAAGAGACACTTCTCCAAAGAGGAAATACAGACAGTCAATAGGTGTATAAAAAAAATGTTCAGCATCGGCCCTCCCTGGTGGCACAGCGGGTTAAAACACAGCACTAAAAAATGTTGAGCATCACTTATAATAAGGGAAATGTAAATTAAAACCACAATGAGTTACCATCTCATACCAGTAAGAAAGGCACATATTAAAACTAGCAAAAGCAAATGTTGGCAAGGATGTGTAGAAAAAGGAACTCTCCTACACTGCTGGTAGGAATGCAAACTGATATAACCACTATGGAAAGCAGCTTGTAGGTTTCTCAAACTGCTAAAAATGGAGCTTCTGTATGACCCAGACTCCTACTCCTAGGTATATACCCAAAGGACACAAGAACACTGCACTACCATGTTTATTGCTACTCCATTACAATAGAGAAGATATGGAATCATCCCTAATGTTCTAAAATAGATGACTGGATGAAAACTATGTGGTACATATAAAAAATGAGGGC